AAAAAAAGATAAAAGAAAAAGAAAAATCAAGAAATGCAGGAGAGAACTTTACAACCAGCTTCTTTAAAGTATGACTGGACTCACAACAAAATTCCCTGAGGGTAACAAACATGACAGCTAGAAATCTAAGAAATGAAAGGGCAGAGATGCTTTGGGTTAACAAGAAGCTTTAATTTTAACAGATGAGAAAGAATGAGGAATAAGACCTTGAGCCTGTGCTACTTGGTTAGTTACAACTGTGGCCCCCACCCAAAGACCCATGAAGGGCAATGTCCTCATTTAAAAGCTGGACCAGAAAAAAAAATACACCCACAATGAAGAAACACAGCAAGCAAAATTGTATGTCTTGGCTTGGGATCTGGGTGTCAAGGGACAGTTTCCTCTAAGAAGTCATAACAATCAGCTTGGCTCCATGTGGGTTTAGAGTTTGATTTAACATTACGGTAGGATCTACAAAACCTCAAGCCAAGAATTAATGTAAAGTTGTTCCATGTTGGTAAAGCCCTTAGGATCACTGGCAGAAGGAATACATTCTATGCTTCAGAAACACATCCTTACCCCATGCCCAAAGGATTCCTGCTGATAAAGTCCTGCCAAACATAGGCTTACAATTCAAATTAAAGAACAAAGGAGGAACAAACCATCATGATCAAAAGTGAACAGAAGTAAAAAATTGGGAAATTAAACTACCAAGAATTACTAATAGCTACAATGTATAAAATATTATGCTTAAATATTAGAAGACAAAAGATAAAATCAATACCAGGAAGGAGACTAACTACATTTGGAAACAGTACAAATGGAACTCCAAGGTATTAAAAAACATGAAAATTTTAAAAATCCTTAAGCAGGAAGTTAGAGTTGTAAAAAAAAAAATGAAAAAAATAGAAAACTAAAATTACCCAGGACATGGCATATAAAAAAAAAAACATGAAAACACGAAAGAGAACTTAGACATGAGGACAGGGTAAGGGGATCCATCATTCATGAAGTATACATAAGGAAAGAGAAAAAAATTGTGTAGGGCAAGAAATGGGACAGAAAATCAATATTCAATCAGATAGATTCAGATTAAAAAACATGAAAATTTTAAAAATCCTTAAGCAGGAAGTTAGAGTTGTAAAAAAAAAAAATGAAAGAAATAGAAAACTAAAATTACCCAGGACATGGCATATAAAAAAAAAAAACATGAAAACACGAAAGAGAACTTAGACATGAGGACAGGGTAAGGGGATCTATCATACATGAAGTATACATAAGGAAAGAGAAAAAAATTGTGTAGGGCAAGAAATGGGACAGAAAATCAATATTCAATCAGATAGATTCAATATTTTGTAGAACTGAAATATATGAATCAAGATGTTCATAAAGGACAATTAATTCAAAGCAAAGGAATAAAAAGAAATCCATATCTAGACATCACAGAGACTGAACAACAACTATGAAAAAGAAATAATCCTATAAGCATTCAGAGAGAAAGGGCAGATTACTTTCAAGGGAATACAATTATATTGGTTAGCAGACTTCTCAAACACAGCATAAAAGCCAGGAGGCAGTGACATAATCTGTTTTCAAAGTAATGGGAAAAATACAACTGTAGACTTAGAGTTTTATACCCAACCTATCAACAGTAAGGGAGAAATAACCCTGAAAGAATCTAGTTCCTGGTCCTATGGAAGCCCTCTTGCCTCCTTGTAGAGCCTAAGAATGTAGTATACACAAAGAGGAGAGAGATGCTTTTGGTGATACTTCTGTGTGTAGGTAATCTTAATGCCACCTTAATTCTGGATATCTTAGTCTCCTGAGGTAATAAATCTTCATCAATTTAGCTTTGTTTTTTTAAATCAAAATGGAATGTCAGTGAAAAATCAGAGTTCTCTTTAGCACACAATACCACCCCTACCTACAGGGACAGCCACGGTGTCTAACTTATTCATGAAATTATTTATTTATTTATTTATTTATTTATTTATTTATTTATTTATTTGTCTTTTTTCCGTGTCCGGCAACGGATCGCAACCCTCAGTGTTGCCCCCGTACCGGACCGGGGACCGGCAACGGGATCGCAACCCTCGGCGTTGCTCCCGCGCCTCGCTCAACCAGTGAGCGGGAACCGGTCTGTATGTGGGATCCGAACCCTCGGGCGGGAGCGCCGCCGCACTTCCCAAGCGGTGCACTATCCATTGCGCCACCGGGCCAGCCGCCCTCGGGCGGGAGCGCCGCCACACTTCCCAAGCGGTGCACTATCCAGTGCGCCACCGGGCCAGCCCGAAATGATTTATTTAAAAGGGAGCTTTGGGTAGGGCTTGAAAATTAAGAGCTAAGAAGACAAATGAGAATGAGGTAAGGAGTCTGTAGAAAACTGAAAACTATTTAAGAATGAGAATGTGTTAAAAAGAGACCATGGAGAATTGTCTGTGAAGTGACTCTTACTAAGCAAAGTCAACAGGATTTTCACATCATAGGAGAGCACTTGGTTCAGACCACTTTTACAATTTATTGATGACAGGTTAAAAAGATGCTTGCACTTTCCATCAACTTAAGAAGGTCAACCTCTGGTATAAGTCTCAATTAATTGTGTTTATGTTTTTATGATTACATGTCAGAACAGCATGAGACAGTTGGGAAGTAGTCCTAGGATTTAACTGAGGCTACTGGGACAGTATCTTAATTGTAAGGAAATTTAAAATGAACAGAAGAGGTTACTGAATGTCTACAATGCAAAACTATATTGCTTAGAGCAGACCCTTCCAGATTAGTTAAATCTAGCCTTTGATTGTCTTTGAGCTCTTGTATAACTCTCGAAGTTGTAGGTAACTGACAGCAATGCAAAATAATTCTTGCCTATAACATGCATATGAACTGTCCAGTGGAGGTTCAGTTGACTCACCCATGGAAAAGCCAGTTTTGTGTTTTTTTAATTCATTTCAACATTCCTTTTTGCTCCATATAAATTTGTTTCTCTCTGGATCCAGTTTTGAACTAGTTGTAACATCTCTCTGGTTCCTTCATTAATAAATTAAGGAAAATCTTTTAACAGGTATGGCCATATACATGCACCTCATGATTTTTAGCCTTTTTTGAAAATTATCCTTTAATACCAACAAAAATAAGGCAGTGTTCCTGAAAGAAACCACATCTCTGAAGTTTACTTCAAAATAAGTTGTAAAGTTTTGGTTCTGAACCAGCTTCTTAAATCAGAAAGTTTCACAGATTTTATTAAAATATAATTTGCTTAAGATACATAATGCATAAGGTGACTGAATCTTACAAATTATATTCTGATTAACAATTAAGAAAATAAGAGTGACAGGAATTCCCATAAATCTGCAACAAAAAAGTAACTGTTATACATTTTAATGTGCTTTAATTCAAAGCATATTATCATGTAAAATGATATCCTTAACATATTAATTCAAACAAGATAAAGGCCTCTTGCCTTTTCAGTTATACTACGGAACGAATCATTAGTTGTAGACCATCTCTCAGAAATACACTCTAATATAACACTCAGTAATAAAAAATACCAAATGTGTGATTATTACAGTAAGTTTGATATTTTTGCAAAAGGTAACACAGGAAAACAAACAATTTTATGAGTAATATGGTATACACTGAAATTTCTAACTATCCAAATCATATAGTCATCCCAAAGAACTTTATCAAAAGTGTAAAATTTACTCAAACTCCTAAAGATTATAAATCCTTTGTTCCTTTATTTCTTCACACCATCCTTGAAAGTGATCACAGTGCCTCTACCACAACTGAGCCACTTGGAGAAAAGGAGGGAGTCACAGGGGAAGCACTAGAGCCATGAGAAAATTCTGTGGTCACTAACAGTTCCTGGACCTCAATTTTCACCACCTCAAATACCACTGAGAAGATATGTTCAAGGAAAAATCGAAATATTTCATTTGACCTATGGAACTCTTATACAGTTTTAAATTTAAAATAAAATTAATTCATTTTGCAGGGAGAAGAGATGAAATTAGGGAAAACTTTCCTAACTATGACAATCCAAATACACAATAATAGTTAAAGAGAAGTCATAGACTATCCTTCCTAAACAGGTATTTTTCCACTTCTTGGCCACCCAAATGGCTAGGAAGGTTTGACTCCTCCTGTTAGGCTACAAGTATGGTAGAAAACTGTTACATAGATGTTATCACTCATCTTAAAATAATACCACTTCAAGCCCTCGGCACTCTGTTGACATAATTTCCAATCCTAAAAACAACCTTGCAAGATAAGTATTAGTATCTATATTTTTACAGATAAAGAAAATGGGCTCAGAAAGGTTGAGAAAGTTTTATACACTACACCACTAATAATTACAAAAATTGAGATTTGGGGCTAGGCCTATACAATTTCACAGCCTATTTCTATTATGCCCTCTTTGTGCACCACATTTTCTTCACCAAAGTCTCAAATGTAGACTGTAAAAAAGTTTAGTATCCATAACCATATTTATAGAATTTTGACTGGTAATAGATGGAAAAACAAATACATTCTAGAGACTACAATAATTATTTTGTGATCCCGTATTTATTTTGGTGAAACAAAAATGGAAACAGAATTCTGTCATCTCAAGATGATTCACTTTAAGGGGTGTGAAAATCTTACATGCTGTTTGTGCTAGGAAAAAAACACTTTTGAACCAGATTTTTGTTAATTATATATATCCTACACTTGAGAGATTTCTCAGGCATTTTTTGTATAACTTCATACTTAATTTCATTCATTAAAGTTCCATTCATGTCTACACTCTAATGACATTATTACTACATTCTTCCCCAAATAGCTCATACTTCATTATGATGATAAATGACTAAATCAAAAGTTCCACAACGTCACAACTAATACTATAAAGTTCCTAAAACAAATTACCATAACGTCTTTAGATCATCATGCCCATTTTAAATAATTTGACATTCATTCAACAAATGAAGCACACTACAGTGTTTGCCATTTTATCCGTTCTCAGAAGTAAAAATACTTACCCCATGCTCCTTAGCAGCTGTGACAACATTAAGGAGGATCTCTTCTTCAACAAATGGTCTCACAGCATCATGGATGATCACTACTTCTGGCTTACGGAGTGTAGAGTCAGGGTGATCCCCTGCCAGTGCTTTTAGTCCATTGAAAATTGACCTGTGGCGGGTCACTCCAGCTTCTACTAGTGAGATGTGTTTATGCTGGTACTTCTCAATAATATTTTTCATGGCTTCCATGTTTCCTCCAGTTACCACCACCACAATGTCCTTTATCCAACATACTCTAAAAGGAAAGGATGTATACATTTCATATAAATTAATTTTAAGACAACTGAAATTCATAACAGAAAATTGAATTACTAGTATTAGTACATCTCCATAGGGAGATTAAAAACTGAAAGTTAATAATAAAAGCACAGAAGTGATTTAGTTAAGTCCAGTAAAGAGATTGATGAAAAAGAATGAGTAAGCATTTCACATCATAGACAGATATAGATGGTGTTTCACATTATACAAAGAGTATCTTACATGGTATAGTACATTTATAGAGTGTAGTATACAGGATATATCAGTTTTTTACTTAAGTCAAATTCAAACAATTAGAATATCACTAGATGTATGAGAGAATAGACTATAAGAGAAATATGCTTTTAAACTTTTCTCCCCAAAATATGTTTTCCTCAATGGGATAAGAATAATTCAAAGCACTTTTGAATTTCAAAAGTTGACTGTGTCTTCCATGAAGTATATAGAGTTGGCAGCCAACCATCTGAATACCAAAAAAGCTAGAAAACTGCTCTGACACAAACCTTGCCTACATCAAGGTTAAAAATGTAGCTTAAAGGGGGGAAACTATGATAATTAATTTTGTATAAATAAGGTTTAAGTTAAATGGAAAAGCTCACAATTTAATGAAATATTAAAGGAATTGATCTATTGAGTCACATACAAAATATAAAGCAATGATTTTTTCTGTTTGGAAACATTTTCTTAAGGAACTACTGACATACTGGACTGCAGATAGTCTATACTACCAAGTATCTACTGCACTGAAGTCTGGCAAACTTCTCTTGTACACACATGCTAATGGAGGTGAATTTCACTGACAAAATATAAAGCAATGATTTTTTCTGTTTGGAAACATTTTCTTAAGGAACTACTGACATATTGGACTGCAGATAGTCTATACTACCAAGTAGCTACTGCACTGAAGTCTGGCAAACTTCTCTTGTACACACATGCTAATGGAGGTGAATTTCACTATAGAGTCAATATTCCATAGCCAACAGGCCCAAACCAGGAAAACTGCCTCTCACCCATGACATCAACTCTGAATAAAGATCATGTAAAAATTTTAATGGAATTCGTAGTCTGGGAGATCCTATATGTTCATGCTAGAACAGTGAAGTCTCAAACATTTTTAAAGAGATGTAAGAGGAGCCTGAAAACTAATGTATAATGAAAATTACTTTCTACTTTCTTTTATTTTTTACTGAAAAATTAAAATTAATATTAGGTTGCTACACTCAGTAATTAACAATCTCCTACCTTCTTTTATCAAACAAAGCCTTTGTGCAATCGAAAACCCCACTCTGCCTGTGGCTACAATACTACACTGGTGAACAAAACCAAGAGCTATTTCATAGGTACACTGCCTTTTTAATTTAAGTCCATTCCTTTAATAAATATGAATTGAGCACCAAATAAACAAACAGCATTGAGGATACAATAGAAATAGGCAGTCACTGCCTTCACAGAGCTTACAGTCAGACAGGAAACAAATAAAAATGATCAACAGTTGCAAGCTGTAACCAAGTGCAATGAAGTCATCTAGGGTCCAGGACAGCATGTAAGTGGAGCACCTGACCAGTATGAAAGCCATGAGGACATTCCCTAAAGGAGAGGGATCTGCACAGAGATCCAATGGTAGGTGGCAGATAAGCAGACAAAGGGGCTTGGGGCTGGAGGGCTTGTCCAAGCAGAGGCCCTGGCAAGGTCCTCAGGGACTGGGAGGGAGCAGAGCAGGAGTTTCCTGAGCAAGAGAAGAGAAGAGCCTGTGAAGAGGCTGGAGGCCTAGGCAAGGGCTGGGCCACCTCTTAAGGGTTTCAACCTTTAATCATAAAAGGCCAGTGAAAGAAAAGCTTTAAGCAGGTGATTGCAATCACACTAAAAAAAAAAACAAAAAAATTAAAGAATATTCTCCTGTGTTCCAGACACAGTTCTATGACCTAATCGGAGTTTTGGTGTGGAGTATGCATAAAGCAAATGTACTTCACAGGTCCTGGTTTTCCAAAGCCTTGCAGTTTCAAATACTGACCTTGCAAAGGACAGGAAATTTTCCTCAGGCTATTGAATCTCTGTTGTAAGATAAAGAATTGTAACACAGCAAGGTTCCTGCCTCAAAGACAGACAGGTTACTGATTGATATGTAAAGATACTGGGAAATTGCTGTAAGAAGAGAATGTTTGCTAAAATCAAGCTTTTGTTAGTGGATTGACTTAATTGCATTATAGAATGTCACCTTGCTTGTCTTACTGAATGTTACCAGCTTCTATTGTTAAACTTTTTAAACTGTACTTGGAAAAAAACCCACCTGTGTTCTCTTCCTGTAACTTCCTGGTCTGGAGAATAAATGCAGGAAAAGAACCACAATTCATGGTTAATTTCCCAAATGGAAGGAATGCCTCTACCTTGAAGGTTCAGGGAGATTAACCCCTTTTCGGGGCTTCTCACTGCTCAGAAGAGATGGCCTTTGAGTAATTTTTGGCAGCTCCGTCACCCAGGGGAAAAGAGGTGACAATCTGTGGGAGTCAAAGCAACATTTTGGCAAGCAGGATAATGGCCACTGAAAGATGTCCACTTCCTAATTACTGAAACCTGTGAATGTTTTTATTTCCATAGCAAAAAGAACTTTAGATACATGATTAAATTGATTATTTTGAGATGGGAATCATCCTGAATCATCTGGGTGAGTCACATATAATCACAAGGGTCCATATAAATGAGAGAAGGAGGCAGGAGAGTCAAAGATGATGTGATGACAGGTCAGCATGATGTGGTGCCACAAGTTCAGGAATGCAAACAGCCTCCAGAATTTGGAAAAAGGCAAGGAAACAAATATCCCTAGAGCCTCCAAAAGGAACACAGCCCTGCCAACACCTTGATCCAACACCTTGTTGTATCCCAGTGAAACTAACTTCAAACTTCTGACCTCCAAAATGGTAAAATAACATATGGTTCTAAGCCATTTAGTTTGTGATTGTTTTTACAGCAAATATAGGAAACTAGCACAAGAACATAAATTTTACTCTGGCTACAAGGTGGAGAATGAATTGGGTAAAGGGAGACAATACAGAGAGAGCAGGTAGGGGGCTGCTGCTATAGTCTGGGTGATGCAATGGTGGTAGCCTGGCTACCATATGGAGCTTGTATATGGGATAAGAGATGATTCAGAGGTAATTATCTACATGAGTAAAAAACAGTGGCAAAACAAATCAAGTATTACATAATATAAAAGAACTAGCAGAAATTAAGCACTTACTACGTCTTAAGCATTTTACATATTTTTACTCATGTAATCTTCACAATAATACCGCCATACTCTCTCTCTTATATGGAGAGGGAGGGAACAGAAATATATTTGAATATATACATATTTTTTTTCTGAACTACCATCTTATTCTAAAAAGGACTTGAAACAGGAAAAAAAATACATTTTTACCATTTTTCATCAAGATAATACAACATTCCATTTTATTTCATCTTGTAGAATGTAGGCTCCATAATAGCAGAGACAATATCTGCTTTGCCCATTGCCTTACACCTAATTACTAGTAGGTGCTCAGTAAATATTTGCTGAATGAATAAATGACCGTGGTCTGTCTCATCTACCAGGACCAGTGCAACATCTTACAACACAGCATAGTCTCAAAAAGAAAGAAAAAAAAAAAAAAAAAAAGAAAGGAAGCTCCCTTCATTACTCTGGCTAGCAATCAAAAAAAAAAGAAAAAAAAAAAAAAAAAGGAAGCTCCCTTCATTACTCTGGCTAGCAATCAAAAAAAAAAGAAAAAAAAAAAAAAAAAGGAAGCTCCCTTCATTACTCTGGCTAGCAATCAAAAAAAAAAGAAAAAAAAAAAAAAAAAGGAACCCCCCTCATTTACCTGGGCTACCAACCAAAAAAAAAAAAAAAAAAAAAAAAAAAAAAGGAAGCTCCCTTCATTACTCTGGCTAGCAATCAAAAAATAAAGAACAAAAGTAGTCTTCCCCACACAGTGTGGTTTTGTTGATTATTTTCTTTGTTTCCAGATATTTGACTCTTTATTCTGATTTCTATGTCCTAAATTTCCTAGATGGTCAAGACGACTTTTATGTTTTATCAGACACCTTGGGAGGATTTCAATCACAAAAATAAAAACAATGCAATATTACAGAATGCCAACGAACAGCCTGTGATCATCTGTACAGGCAATAGAAGGGATTCTAAAATAAAACTAAGCATAGGTTGTTCTTTGTTTTGTAGCCCATTCCCTACACCTTTCACTGCAAATTTAACAACTGTAGAACTTACACTGTACTTACAGTTTAGAATTCATACTGTTCTTAAAGCCCGTAGCAACTGCCAAGTGACACTTCCTCAGTACCTCCTAAAAGTGGGGTTTCCCAAGGTTCTGGTTCCACTGCCACAGCTTATGACCCACATGATCATTTCTCCCTTGATTTACTGCACCAGCCTCTTATGTGTCTCCTCCTTCTCCTCCTCTTATCTCAGCACAATCCATTCTCACCTCTTCCGGATGGCCTTTCTCAAGCACAAATCAGAGACCATCCCCTGCTGGCTCTTGAACAAGGCCCTGCAAGACCTGGCCTCCGACTCGTCTCCACATGCGTCACTGGGACTGTTCCATGCCCCTCCCACTCTCATCACAAGCTGCTCCCCGTAGGGGGGACACTGCATTCTCTCTCACACCCAGGTCTTCACACATGCTGCTTTCTTTGTCCCTCAACACTGTCCCCCCATCCGCACCCCCTCCTGTCTGAGTCCTACTTGCTCTTCAACTCTCAGTTCAGATGTAGGCACCCTCCAGGAAGCTTTCCATGACTGCCCTTCTGGGTGCTGCATCGGTCTCTAGGGTGTCAGAATACTCTTGTCTCAGAGTCTTATTAAGCCTCCACTACACTCTATAATTTTCTGTCTTCCTCACTAGGCTGCCAACTCACGGAAATCAGGGACTACACTCCAGAACTCGGTACATCCCAAACCTTCAGTAATATTAAT